TTAAATGGCCATCACATTTCCTCTGCCCAGCTCTGCTAGAGCCCAGGGTAAGCTCATGCCCCTCACACCATTCTCATTTCACTGCTGGCCTCAGGACTCTGCAAAAGCAGGCAAACAAGCAGTGTCTGGATACCTCTGCAATGCAAATGTCAGTCTGTAGATCCAGTCTAACAAAGAAATTTTCTGAGCTCTGCAGTAGATCTCTGTTTCAGTGTTTCTGACCTGTACTCACAACAAGGGCTAAAACTATTCTTTTAAAAGTGAGTTGAAGAGTCTGTGGAAATCTAAGACTGCTAGCCACATGCCTCACAAATAAAGTTTTCTAATGGCTAGTGGCCCAAAAGAAAGCAATACTGCATCTCAGGAAATGGAAACTTACACTGCAAATCAAGAGATATTGAGTTTCAGTGATTAAGAGAGACCATAATTTCACTCCTGCCTGCTCTTAAAACCAGTTCCTAGATTACTCCATTCTGGCCCTCCTAACAGAAGGGAAGATCAACTGGCTCTGTAGGTTTTCCAGCCTTCCCTTCAAAGTCAGAGCAAGTTGAGAGTATTCAATTTTTTTTTACCTTGCTCTTCCTGGCTCTCCATTTACACTAGAAGGTAAAAAACAGCCCTGACACACCATACTCCAGTTTTACTGCTGCTGTTAGAGACTAAACAATTCCACACAAACTTAGTGTATTATCCAGGGACACTCACAATTTGCTCACTCTGTTACAGTGCTGTAAAAGGGCTTCCTCACAGGATACCAAGGCTTCATTTTTGCCTCCGAGACCAAGGAACAACTGAGATTGGAACACTGAAGAGGCAATCCACCTGAGCAAAATTAACTTTAAAAGGACGTGGTATTTTAGAATGATAGGTACAGAGCACAACAAGAAGTACTCCTGAAGAGTATTTTACCACATTCTTTACCTGCGTTTTTTCAACCTATTTTTCAAAAGGTAATAACACTGCATGCGACCCATGCATTCCCTGCTTTTGCTTCACAGCCCACACTAACTAATATTGCCCATCACTTTTCAACCTCTCTGTACAAATACCACTACTGGTATCAGTGATTAATACACTAAACAGCAAAATGAGAGCTGTTGAAAAGTGACTTATAAAGAAAACAACAGCATGCACATCCTGTTTTCCTCTAGACCTCAATATACATCAAATCAAGAAATGCTGAGGTTTTAGGCTCTTCTGGATGATAAAATAAAAATTTAAGCTTTAGGAAATTCACACAGCAAATAATATGTTCAAGTAGCTTTATTTTATTTTATTTTTATTTTCAATTCCTTTGAAGACTGAATAGGTAACGCAAGCAACCATATGCAACATTGCAAAAGTAGAAGAAACTGGATTAAAGGGGAAGGTTAAGGGGGTGGTTTATTCTGCTACACAGCTGCTGGTATTCTGAGAAAATTGATAGTAGAAAAGAGACACTCTGAAAAAGGAAAAAATTCTGTACATTCAGTTACCCCATAAATTAGTTACTCAGTATTACTATACTATAGCTTATCTATAAAACTAGAGAAATTGATGAATAAATTATTCAAATGAATGACAAATTACATGTCATAAGCTTGAAAAACTAAAGTCCTCCTCAAAATACAGGGTACACTTCAACCAATTTAGTTGAAACAGTGCAAACATCTGTAGGGAAAGTTCTCCGTAAAAATGGTATTTCAAAAAGTCTTGAGCTCATCCCTAAAATGCATTTAACTAGGGAGGCAAGGCAGAGTATCTCACACTACACATGAAGCAAAACCTTGTAAGTAAAATAACCTTAAATGTTAATGTACAAAGACAAACCTAAATCCTGTGCTACAGCTAGCAACCTATACTGTGGAGGAAAGAAAAAAAAAAAAAAAAAAAAAAAAAAAAAAAAAAAAAAAAAAATAAAAAAAAAAAAAAAAAAAAAAAAAAAAAAAAAAAACACAAAACCAAGAGCCTTTCTTCAAAGCCCTTTTAAATCAATGGTGTAGACAACCTCATGGAGACTCATGGTGGTCTCATAAGTTTTATCTTCAAATGATCCATCTGATTCCATCCTCTTCCAGGCCAGCGTATTTGAATCAACACTCAGGACCATATGAAGCAACACCAAGAAGAAAAACACAAATCAGCCAAAGCAGGTTTATGTTAACTTTTCCAAACCTGTTTTGGGGAGACAAACCAAACTTTTACCAAGAGACACCAATCACAGCATGCTCAGAAACCAACAAAGAGAACAAGCCTGAGATAGGAACACTAACTGCACAAGTAAGCGATCACAACAGCTTCTATCCAAAAACAAACGCCTAAGGAAGAAAGCAATCACTGGAAATCTTCTAAAGCTGCCTCTGCTTGCGAGCTATCAAAGTCTTGAGGAGGAGGTGAGGGAGAAGCATCTCAAGCACTTTCCACTGTGAAGATCTGTCACCACATCAGCCACTGTATTTCCCTCTTCAGCCAGGCAACTCCCCTGCAAAATTGCTAAAACCATTACTTAACAGCAAACACAGTACCTAGCAACATAATGTCTTGTCCAACACCTTGTTCTAGCCAAAAATTCTGTAACTCAATTATCTCCCCACCTGTTTATAACTTAGGACTCAGGTACTGGTGATCTTTCTTACAGGTTTTAGTGTCTCACCTGAACACTCTGCAACTGCTCCCATGGGCACATCCGCAACTGGCAAGCAACTGGCAACTGCTTCCAGAGAGAGCTTTTCCTCCTACCTTTGAACAGGTAGAGATAAGGACACTAGGCGACTCAAGAGCCTCGGGGGATGATTCATACATCCCACAAGCCAGAGAAGTCTGCTAAAGCCAATATGGCCTTCGGTGAGACCTGTAACTTAGACACCTTTAATTCTGCTGCCTTAATAACAGCCATAAGCCTAAAATGTAACTTAATGGACTGTTTCAGTTCAGCAGAGACAGATGAGCCAAAAGAGCAGGTACTGCATCAGACTGGGGAAAAAAGGTAAGCAGATTTATTTAAGTGAAATAAAAACCAGAGGTACAGCTGGTGAAGTCCTACATGTGAAAGGAGAGTTATTTTAGTTTTACAGCTATCACTTCTGAGACCTAGTCAGACAAGCATATTGCGTGTTGATGGGAAGGAAACCCTGCTCCATGTACATGTCCTTTTCCTTCAACACCTCTCTGGATTTAGTTCTTTCAGTTTAGGAGTGACTAGTCTAGTGCCATGGCACTCTCCACAAAAAATATTTTATATATACATTTTATCTGTTAACATTTTCATATTTTTTATCTATAACATTTTCACACAGTTCAGCTGAATTATCAGGTTAAAGTAAGTAATCTTATCCCACCACAAAATTCAATCTTAATAGTTCTGCAATCACACTACACAAGAATAGCTCAGTAAAGCATGGATGAAAAGAGACAAAAATTGAAGAAAACTGGATAGAAAGTTTCAGCTGGGTAACAACACAACAGGCACAAATCTCAGACCAGACACTCATCTCCCTGAAATTTTTGAGAAAGGGCCGCAAGACTGATCTCACCACTTGCTCTCATTAAAACAGAAACAGCACCCCCATTGTCAAATAATACTACTAAGGCAGAGGACATAAAACTTCCAGGGTTTGTTTCTTTCCTAAAACGCAAATAATGGATTTGCATAGCTTAAGGCAGAGTCTACTCACAGACCTATTGTTCCTTCCCCGAGGCCTTCGGGATTTCCAAGGAGTAGCTCCCTTTTAGTACCCTCGCTAAAAGCAATCTTTTATCCGAACCTGCCTGACCGGCAGCCATGCCAAAAAGGTCGTGGATTACCCGAACCAAGCAATTCAGCAGAAGCCACGAAATCCCCGTCTACTTTACTTATGGGTCGTCGTGAGCTCCGCCGGGAGGCTCCCCCTGCGCGGGGCTGCTCTGCCCGCATGAGCCCACCGTCCCCCAGCCCTGCTCTGCCCACCTCGGAGCACCGGGCCCCGCCGCCCTTTATCCCCCTATCTCCCCACCCCTCTTCCCGCACTCGCCTCCCGCGATTCACCGCCCGCGGGGAGCCTCGGGGCGGCTCTGCCCGCCGCCCCGGCCTGCGAGCGAAGCTGCTCCGGGTAGCCGGGCGAAGGCGGGCGGCTCCCCTGGCCCGAGCCCACCAGGAGCAGCCGGGAAAATTCGGGCGGCCCCTTCCCTCCGTGAAGGGCCCCCCACCGGAGCTGCCTACCTGTGTGCGGAAGCGCACGGCTGCCCGCCGGACCCTCCTGCCCTCCCCGCCGCCCGCCGGGGGCGACACCCGGCCCCGCATGCGGACCCGGGCAGCGCCTCAGCCTGGCCCCTGACCCGCTCCCCGGCGCCGGCCGCCCGCCTGCGGCATCAGGCGCATCCAAGCGCCGCCGGGAAAGCGGAGGGCGGCTGCACTTCGGTTTCTGTCCGGCTCATCCCCACCGGGAACCGGCTTCCGGCTACACCACCGTGTTAAGAATTTTCTTCCCGTGAAGTTCCCAAGAATCTCTGGGAAGGGTCTGGGACGTCTCATCTCACCAGCTCTCAAAACCGATTAAAATTGTGTTCTCTTCAAAGGAGGCTTGTTAGAGGCAGGCTCCATCCCTCTGGAAATTCAGTTTAATTACTTGAATGTTTGCACCGAGGAACACGCTGATGTATGCAAAGAGCCAGCTCTGCCTTTGAATACGCAGTAATTTACATAGAATAACAATGTTTTTGGCAGCTGCTGCCATCAACATTCACCTGAAGGAAATTTTAAAATTGGAAGCATGGGTACAAACTCTACATGAGATTAAAGCTAGCAGCTTTCCCGTCTAAAATGACGCAAGAAGATCATGGAACGGTTAAGGTTGGAAAAGACCCCTGAGATCCGTCGTGTCCAACCGTGGAACGTCCCCGACAGCCGTCACATGTCCCGTGGCAGACGCAAACTCAGGAACAAGCACTTCAGCGCACCCAGGCTCAGGCACTAGCCACGAGATCTACTCAGCCTGTGCACGGGTTACAGAACCACACTTTATAAACCGGGGGTGTTCACTTACCGGCTGTTAACAGAGCATCTTATTTTATCTCTACATCATCCCCGAGAAGAGGACAGAACTCATCGCTTCTGCTCAGGGCCGCCCAGGCTGTTGCTGCAGCCTCTGGTAGGTCCAGCCCGGTTCCCGCATGGTGGTGCTTACGACAGGATTCAAGAGGAGGGCTTGTTCATCTGAGCCCCGTCTGCAAGAGAAAACGTAGGAGGCACGTTCTGCTTTTAGACAGAAATTTTTAGCTCGAGCCTGCTGAAATTTCCCTTCCATTTAAAGCAAAGCCCACCAGAGGGAGGAGACACTCACGTGAAGACAGATAAAGCAGACGCTACGTCTTCCCCTCAGTAGTGTCTTTTCTGACTGTAGTCAGTCTTTTCTGACTGACTTCCCTGCGGAGCCGCAGACACTACTCTTCCTCCTTCTCCTCCCCCTCCTCGGGCCGGCGGTGGTGGGAGACTCGCAAAGCGGAGGACAGCGAACCACTCCCAGCCTCCCGGAATATTACCATCTATTAAGAAACTAATCACCACCGTGTGTATGTCGAGGGGGTTTGGGATCCTTCAGGGACGGGATTCTCTCTCCCCTAATACCTTTGCCCCCTGTCATGAAACCCTCGGGAAAGCCGGCACGGGAAGAACGACCCCCTGAGGAGCTGCTGCTAGGAGCAAAATGAAACACTACCCAACGGAGGCGGGAATCACTGGGCTCCTGGAAAATCTCTCCGTACCTCAGCGCCCAAGCGTCTGGGACTGGACCTTACTATTTCAAAAGAAAGTTATTAAATAATTCTCCCTCTGATAAAGAGGATGAAAAAATGTGTTTGTTTGGAATCCTGTGCTGCATGAATTTTATGTTTTGCCCAGAGGAGTGTATCCTGCTAGAAGAAATCTGAGGGGTTGTTAATAATTTAATTTTCCTCTCCTGTTTCTATCTTTATGATCCTGACTGCTTCCAATCTAAATATTCTCTTTATGATGCTTCTGTGACCTCACAGTATATTTTTAGCATCATATCAGAACAAGATGCTCCCTTGACTGGAAAAGCAGCTCCTGCTTTTTGATGGCTGTCATTGGGAATGACCAAAGGTGGATTCTATTCTGTGCAGCACTTTTCTAAAACCTATGTGTACATGTAATAAAAATAACAGATTGAAAGCTGGGAATTTTTGTTTGTTGTTCAGGGGCTATTCCAGTTGTTAGCCTGCCGAGGTGCTTTTCAATCTGTTCTGGGCTGGGAACCAAAGTTCAGACCTCTGTAATTTGTCTTCCCTTGAGCTGAAAATACCTTAGTACTTTTCCCTCTCTCCCAAGAGGCTCCTCAGGTCTTCATCCTTCACATCCTGCCCTTTACAAAACCAAGCTTCTTCCAATTATATAGCTAAATTATGTACCGTCTAAAGTTACTTTATTTAACTCTGCTATATCTTTTCCCATTAGCTCTCTGCTTTTCAGTCCTTACCCTTCAATTCACCTAGGTATCAAAGGCACACAATCAATTAAAAAGCAAAAAATCATTAAGGTTGTACAACAAAGGACTCAGAATTAGGATTTATTAGAAGACCAATTTTGTGACTTCATGTCGATCCCCCTGCTCATGTTTCAGAACATTCTTAAATTATGTAGTCCAGTATTATTTTTTTCTTGCCTTGCTTTATTTTACAAGGCCTTGTCTTTGTTTAGAATACAGGATGGATTTTCAGGATATATCAGATTTTTGCAGAACAAGATGTTGGAGCTATTCACCACAGAAGAGTGTAGGAAACATTGAGGAAATGGATGGTATTCCTGCCTCTGTTCCAGACAGGATGTGTGTGCTGCAGCTGCAACTTTTGTGCATGAATTCATGGGCAGGAGCTTCTTTCACACTGGATAAGGTAGGGTATCAGTACCAGTCCAGCAGGGATCTCTGAGCAGGCTGACCAGCACAGGAGGAAGATCAGGAACATGCTGTGGGCAAGACTGAGCCATGGCTCAGAGGCCAGCTCAAATTACTGGTGCACCTCTGAAGCGAGCGAGACACATGCAATGTGGTGGTGCCATGTGGCAACTTAGAAGTCATTTGATTTTACAGCTGACTGCAAGTTGTCAATTTTCTTGGAGTCTTGCATGAGGCATCTAACTCTAGGAAGAGCTGGGTGTTCACAATTGCAGCCCAAAGTCCATAGAAGATACAGTTCACTCACAGTTTTATTCCCAGTGTGTGTAAGAAATACAAAGAATTGTCTCTAAGGTATCTGAATACACCTTTATCTGGAATAAACTGTGCTATATTAGTCAAGTAATATAATACTCTAACTTGCAGTGATGTAATTTCACTTTAATTTCTTCTGGCAATTGTAGCTATCCCACATCAGCATCAGAATGAAAGCTGGTGTATGTTGTCATCTCAATATGTTGAGCTAAATTCAAGGATTCAAATGGCAATTTGAATAATTAATATAATGCAGAAAAAGTTTAGTTCCTAGTTGTTTCCCAAATAGTCTGTACAAGCAAGAAGTCAATAACTAATCTGCAACCCAGTGAATTTTTGGGTACAAAGTACAAGGAAAATATAAGGAATCATTGGTATATAGCCTATTGCAAACAAATTATTTGAAAACAATGAGAATCTTTCAAAATGCTTTTGAAATGGTTGACTAGCAGTAAGTCAAAGGAATGCTCCTGCAAACAGATGCAATGCATGTGACCAAAAAGTCAACAGATTTGCTCTTTCAGTTGAAAATCAACATTCCTGACACACAAACCTCTCCCCAAACCAAAGATAAAACCCCATAAATCTTTAAATTTAAAATAATAAGTAAAATGAATCTGAATAAAATATAGTTATATTTTAGTTCCAGAAGAAACCATGCACCTCCTCAGCCATTACTAAACTAAGAAAATGTTGTTGCCTCTTCCCCATCTTGCAAAATCAGAGAAAAACAAAGAGGAAAATTACAGGAAATGGAAGGAAAAAGTGCCGAACATGGGAAAATCAAAAAAACTAGAGAGAAGAAAGCATAAAGAGAATGGAAAGTTGCAGCATCACAAAAATGATTTACCCATCAATCTAATAAGAAAGATGACTAATCAAGCTGCGTGTAGGCAATGCACCATATCTATAATACACATCTGGTCTTAGAAGTAAAATGCAACAGAACTGTCACCCTTCATAATTACTTTGGGAGATAATGCATTTACAGAATACAGATTGTCACAACATCCTTGTGGGTCCCTTCCAAATCAGAATATTCTGTGATTATGTGATCCCTTCTCCACCCATCTTCTAGCTTTACTGCCTACCATCACAGTCTGATCCTAATCTTTATGTCATGCCATGAGAACTGCCCTGAGTCCCACGCATGCCCAAATCTCTCCTACTGAACTCCAAAACGTGTCTCAGCACGACTCTGTTTTGTACAGGTTCCCAGATCCCTTGCCTAGGTGCTCGGGGCTGCCCCCAGGTGCTCTTCACTGTAGTTACAGTTCCAGTTATAGTAAGCACCAGTTATAGTAAGCTTTAGTCATCAATCTGTGGTTGGATGATGTTTCTTCCAGAGACTATTTGCCAGGAAAAAACTTGCTGAAGCCTGTCCCACATGCTTTAAAAAATGTGGTTAGTGGTTGTAGCATATCTCCTCAGAACCCAGTGTTTGTCATGAGCTCACAGTGTGCAACCCCCATCTGGTTTGAGGTCACTTGTTTCAAGACCTGGTCAACCAAAGAACTGCTGAGACAACCAAAGAACAAAAGTCACGACTTTGACTGCTTTCTCAGGCCCCAGGGCCTGCCTTTGCTGGGAATTGCAGAGTGCTTTCCCCTTCCCTGGCCTGTGCATTGCTCCTCTACTCAGTCTGGGAGACAGGAGACCAGCAAACAAAACATGATGTCAGGAAATGTCCTCAAGGTAACCCAGATAGGCTGAGACAGCCTCCCTTTATTTTTACCCCAGTAAAATGCAATCTGGGGTGGTGAGCACATTAGGAAGTGCCATTTGCCAACCAAAGTGAAGCCTTTAATGCACATGTTTATGCTTGAGCATCTACAAACCCATGAAGAAATACATTATCTAATAGACACTAGGCATTCTTGTGCTTCATTAGGCATATGCAGAGGAAGAAATAGGTCAAAGCACACCCACTTCAAGAGCATTGCAAACAAAACAGTAGAAAGAAAAAAGGAAAACTGTTTGGAAAATTATAGAAAATGTGTCATGAGCAGCTTGTGGTTTTCACCAGGTCAAGAGCAACATTAAACTTCAGGTTTCACTGCACCAATTGTTCTCTTGTTTCCATTTAATTACGATGTCATACGGAATTCAAGTTCTCTGCTTGTCCCTTCATCCTCCCAATGGATGTCAGCATACTGAGTTGACTCCACCTCTATGCGTGTCCATGGGTAGCCCAAACTGAAGCTTCATGGCGCCAAAAGCAGCAAAGCAGGCAAGAGCTGCTGCTTCCTTCCCTGGCAGAAGACAAACCTCTCAAGATCCAGTTCTCCTACCCATCTGTCTGGGACACAGCAGTCTCCTCCCTGTAGCTTGCAGGCATGCAGTGGACTTCTGTTCCCAGAGAATGTCAGCTGTGGCATCTAGCACAAGGGAAATCTGGGAAAAGGAGAGAGGTGAAGGAGTGCATGGGAGAGATAAGCAGCTGAGGGGAGTAGCAGGGCAGTGGGAAGCTCTTATGTGCAGTCTGCTGCTAGGTCACAGCCCCAGTGCCAAATGCAGGGGGGCACTGAGCTCAGGAGAGAACAAGTCCTTGATCCTGTGGCTCTGGGTCCCTACCCACTTGGCCTGTGTGTTCAGATGACTGACATAAGCTGCTTCCGGAAGATGGAATCCTTGCCCTTTTATGATAGCTCTGTCAGTCCTACCGTACCATGCCAGGACCCACTCTCCTTGTCTGCTTTCCAAGGAGAGGCCTGCATGTAATATGCCTTTGCTGTTTAAAGCACAGCATAATGCCTGGTTTATTTCTGTGTTAATTTTATGAAAATCTTTCCCTGTTTTTCCCGCTGCGTTCCCATAGCACAAGCTCTGGTTCTGGCCTTTAGACTCCCAGGTTTTTGTCCTGTGTCCTGCTGGGTTCACCTGTACAGCCAAGTCATTATTTCAAGTGCTCAGGCAGCTACTGTAGCTCTCAGATATATAAAACCTTTCCACTTCAAACTTTTGGCCCACTTCTTTGGCCAGTGTTAACTGGCCTGGATT